CACACACACACACACACACGCACACACGCACACACACACGCGCACACACACACACACACACACATAGACAACACACCAACACGTATACATACACATGCACATAGACCGCCTCGGCGGCCTCTTGGTAAGGAGTCCGCTCTGAGAGATCTAGTGGAAAGTTAATTTTTTAACACAATAAAAATGATTTTTTTAAAGTCAATCCAAGTGTACAACGGAAAGATCAACAAACGATAACAGCCAGCAGGGCACGCCCACACAGTCAGCTGTTTACGTGAACAAGCATTGAAGTGAGCTAGAAGTTACTGTTTTTACTCCCGTTTTATAATCAGAGTTGTAGCCTATACATTTCAGACCATTCATGCTCGAAAAGGGGTCAAAATCTAAAAATAATTGCGAATGAAGAACGTGGGAGCAAAGATTTTTCCACTAGTGGAGAATCTTTGGTTAAAGCAAAGGTGGCCACGAGGTAATGGTTCTAAAAATAATTTCACAGCTACACTCTAGCAAGGTCCAAATTCCTGTATCTCGTGTGATTGTGCGTGTGTAGTATTTGCTCTTCATACAAAGTACATTTGCCCTTGTTCGTGCAAATTCTATTATGAATCACAAACCACCCATAATGTAGCCTGCCTTATTACTTCATCAATGACCCCCCCCCCCCCCCCCCCCCCCCAATTTTCCAGCTGTGCGCGGTGTATGTCTTCGAGTACGTTGCCCGCGGATGTGCTGCCAAAGCCAGGCCAAAAAGCGAATATCATGTGGGATGCCCTGAACTGTATGCAGCTCTTCAACTCTGCTACCAGGTGAGTAGCTTGTGAGTTCCTTCCTACATTCTCCCTTTCTTCCTTCCTTGCACCCTTCGTAATTCCCTTCTTCATTCTGCTTTTCTATATCTTTTCTCCTTTCCTTCCTTCCTTCCTTCTTTCCTTCCTTTCTTCTTTCCTTCTTTACTCCCTTCCTTCCTTCCTTCCTTCCTTCATTCATTCTTTCCTTCCTTCCTTCCTTCCTTCCTTCCTTCCTTCCTTCCTTCCTTCCTTCCTTCCTTCCTTCCTTCCTTCCTACTTTTTTGTCCTCTTTTCCTAGTTCATTTATATTTTCCTTACCTGTTTAGTTACTCGCTTGCTTTCGTATGCCTTTCCTGTTTGGCAAGATCGGTCTTGAGCTTCGCCCCCCCCCCCCCCATTTCCGTTACCCTGAAACTGATTTGACGATTTAATCAATTACCTAAACCTCCACAGGCTGGTGTGTTCGTCTCCAGATCTTCAGTACAGCTGGTTCGAATCCGGCGTGTGGAGATCCTCAGCCTCTTGCAGCTCATTAACATGATTCTCTGGTTGGTGGATGTGCACGTGAGTTCTTGAGTTATTCCACCTTGACGAGAACATCCAGATATACCTCGATCTAATTTTCAAGTTATATCTATCCTGATAAAACACTTGGGTATAAAGATCTAGCTTCCACGCGTTCTACCCCGATAGGACACTGGGACAAAATAGATCAAGCTCTCAAGTTGTTCCACTTTCATGAGTCATTGAGTTATAAATAGATGAGGCCCTCGAGCTATCTCACCCGAAAAGACAATTGGATATAAATAGGTCTAACTCCCGATAAGAAACGGGGGTGTAAACAGATAGATCTCGATCTCTGTCCAAACGCCATGTTTAGGTTTTAAAGGTCTTAGATTTTTTCAAATTCCATATAAACCAATAGTATATCCCCTTGAGATGACTAGAAGTCAATACATTTGCTTTTTCCCCAACAGACAACAACTAATCAGACTGTTTGCTCAAACAAAATCTAAATGCATTGATCATACAAATATTCAGTCCTGTTATCGGAAGTCGAATACGAATACATATTAATCTGCATCAATACGTTCTCATATCTCTGGAACCTATCAACAGTACTTGTCGCATAGTGAGTAAAAGCACCCTTCGACTCTTCATTCTTAAAATAAGAAGCATTTTCGCGCATGGTTTCATCATGGTGACCCAAAATGGAGCTCCGTAGAAAGCGAAGATTCCAGACCCATACACTCACTAACAATGCACCGTGTTCCTCAACGCTACTGTTTCCAGTACAAATTCCTGCCTGTGGCTGTACTGCCCGCTCTGATGGTGTACGTGGGTCTACTGGGCGGAGCCTCCTACGTGAACATCTTCTACTCCCTGCTCCACGATGACGTCTACCCCAAGGAGGACAGGGAGCTCTGTGTCAACCTAACGGGACTCTTTATCACACTGGGTACGATAGTTACTAGTCATGAATAATAATATTAATTATTGCATTAATACAGCCAATATCCATGCGCTATGGTAAGGTCTTTGCACTATCCTAGAATTACAAACTTCTATCTGCCCAGTTCTTAGTTTTGAGAAATTTGACGTTAACAAAGTGTCAAGTTTTTCTGAATGCAATTCTTTGAATGTTTTGATAACGACTCCGAATAATCTTACGATTTTGATAGAACAGATAGAACATTTATTGACTTCTGACCCCATGGTCTCCGTATCTCAAAATTGCCAGAAATATCAGATAGAACTTTAGAATTCTAAGGCAGCGAATTTAAAAGGATTATTCTCCCAGCACACCCTGTAACAATCAGCTCACAGTGCAAGCAGCCAATTAAGCATTCAAATCCTAGCAAACTGACGAGATATGTTGTCGTCTATAGTCTATAGCCGGGTATTCATTCCCAACTTGGTGAAGTGAGCGAAATCCGGGTAAAAAGTGCCTTTCCCAAAAATACGGCGCAGGATTCCTGGCGGGGTTTGAACCCATGATCTTTCGGTCGCAAGCCAAACAGCCTAACCTTTAGATCACATTTCCTTCCTTCTGTACTTACTGTCGCAATGTTGAGTTGTTTTTTTGTGTGTGTTGTTGTTTTTTTTTGGCTGCGTTTTTCATTTGCTCGTTCTTTGGAGCCGCCTTTATTAATCACTTTGTTCATTATCTATTCACATATATTGTTCTCGTTCGATTATTTATCAGTTACTTAATTTATTAATTCATGCAGATAAAGTTGTTTTTTCTCACTTATCCACCAGATTACTAAATTATATTTAATTTGTTCATATGTTCCTACTTTCATTTATTCACCAGAACGTTTGTCAGTTGACATAATTAACTTTCATTATTTCATAAATCGTACATATTCTTTATTCAATTCACCGTTTCTTAGTTTATAAATAATATCGGCCCTGATATTGATGAGTCAAACTACACTCATACCTTGATCAACATGTATTTTTAACACACCCCTCTAACTATTATCGTTTTAATGATTTTAGTGCTATTTCTTTGACATCCGCCCCCCCCCTTTCAGTTTCCCTATTGTCATTAATATCATCTTCCCCACCAGTTACTACCCCGGCCCTCCCCCAACTCTCCCTCCTCAATTAAAACAACTACAACAACAAACTCAAAATAAATTACAATAGAACAGTAACAAGAGTAACAATTAGAACAAATGAACAAAAAAACAACCAAAGTTTCCACACACACACATGAGCTTAATAAACCTAAACAATTAAGATAAATACCACCTCGAAAACAACACCAAGATAAAAACAAAACGAGGCAAATAAACAACAACAAAAAAACAACTAACAAAACAAAACAACCCAGCTCTACAACAACTGTTACTTACAAACCCCCGATCGATATTAACAGCTCCGCTCCTGCCTACCCTAAAAACAAACACACACACAAAAAAACCCATTAAAAAGTCGACAACACAAAACAACAAGAATACCAAAGAAACAACAACACCAATTACAACAAAAACAAACAAACAAAAACAAAAGCTAAAGAAATTAGACCAGATATTAGCCTGAAATCCACATTATTAACTCACAAGGGCAATGGCAAGGTCCCCGAGAATAATCACCTATGATTGTTTATTTAAAATGATAATGTTAAGTTATTTTTATTTTGTCTCAGGAATCGTTCTTGGTACTGGACTGGAGACAGCTATTTTCACAACACTCCTGAAGTCGGATTAATATGGAGCAGCTATTTTCACCTCTATTCTGAATATAAGATTGACATTGACATGAAACGATTCCAGTCGAATTTGTCTTAGACGGCCACTCAAAAAAGTGGGCGTATTAGACAGGTGAACGTCTTACTCAGTGTCATTGTTATGTTTAAAAAATATATATATCATAAAAAACGGCCAAGAGGAAATGGGAAGTGGTCGTTTGTTTTGGTGACTGTCTTGTACAGGTGGTCGTTAGAGCAGGCTCGACTGTATTTCCATGACTCCGCTCTTTCTGGATACTGTAGGGATCGACAGGTCAACTGACGAACTCACGAAGGATATTATATTCTTATTCCCAATTTGATGTCATTTTATATCCGTGTTATAAAGCTTTAGTGCAAGTGTTTAGATAAGTGAGGCTGTTTTCGCACACGTGTGCACTTTTGTGTGTGCGTGTGTGTGTGTGTGTG